ATTGTCCTTTCTCATTTATTTAGATTCATTTCCAAGGTGAAACGCACGGGACTAAGAAGGACCCAATTATAAATGAAAAACTAGGAGATAAATTAAGTCTCTAAAATTTTCTCAATTATTAAAAACTTGAAATTCAAATTAAAATTTATATATTTTAACCTTGAAATGGATTTAAGAGATGGTTATTTTTTATTGTATAAAATACATTATAAAATATTTGTTGAATATTATGAGATTTCATATCTAGATTTAAAAATAGTCATTTCAACACTCGTGAAAATAGATAGTGCAAATTCAATCCACTTGTAAGGCAACCAAAATACTATGAGATGTCTAAAATGAGAGATGTTAAAATATTAGAAAGGGCTTTCCCATAGTATAATGAAAATGGACAGCAAGCTTATCAATTAGAACATCAAGATTCTAGAGCAGCTTCAAGCATTGGAATAATGACGGTACCTGCAACAAGGGACACAAAAGGAGAGGACCAAATCTAAGTTAAACCCAAGAAAGCATGACACTTGGAACCTCTGAGTTACAAATTAAAAGCCACTCCCTGCACAAATTTTCACATGCACCAGACCAGAGGCATGGATGGACAATGCCACGAATAGTGAACTTTCATTGTGCTGACTTTGAAGTCCTAGATTGCAAAACCGTCTTCTCCGTCTACATTTGTCTCCTTTTTTATATCAATTGCATATCCGTACGACTACCTACAATTCATCGCGTAACGGTGGCTTTGAAATCCTAAACGATAGTGCAACAAATTGAGGCTAATCATACGGTCAACAATTACTATCAGAAACAGGAGAAAAATAGTAACAGTAGGAAGAAAAATATGCCACGTTAAATGACTGCAACAAAGTCCATTTGCTATCTCTAGGCAAAAAATGAGTCATTGAACTCATTATGTTCTATGCGTTAGAATGACCTTGGAATTAGTCACATAATTCTATTAGAATTCGAAAAAATCATTGCTCTCTCAAATTTCACATTCAATATGAACAAAACCTAAGCAATCCAAGCGTTACCCGCAAAAACTCGTCATTTATGTCAAAGTTGCAACCTGAAACAAGTCATGGTCTTTCTCATCTACCATTATAAAAACATAGCATATATTTGATCAAGAGCATAATTCAAGTCAGTGCTAGGAAGTACTGAGAATGCAAGACTTTGCTTCCTTTTTCAAGGCAACTGTAGTGTTTGAACTTGATGTCCTTCCCAAATGCTCACAGATAAAATCTCCAGAAGGCAGCAGACGTGAGTTTCCGAAGATCTACAATTGTTTTTACTCCAAGTCCATTTAGCACGTAAACAACATCTTCAGCAGTAACAATTACTGATAGAACTCTAGGATTAAAGGGATAACCTCCAAGACCTGAAACCAATGAGTCCATGGTGCTGATCCCCATCAGTAAATACATGGAAAGCATTTTCACTTGTAATGCATACATCAACTTATAGTGGTAGCCAAAAAGACATGTATCTGACAATCATCTTGACAAGAAAATGAGCATGTTGAGAACTGAGAAGCAATCATGAGAGATTGAAAATAAGAAAGAATGCATACTTGGAGAGATGCTAAAATATTTGAAAGGGCTTACCCATAAATGTCACGGAAATGGATGGCAAGCTTATCAATTGGAATGACATCAAGAACAGCTTCAAGCAATTGAATGACAGTTCCTTCAACATGGCACAAAAGAAGAATACTAAATCTAAGTTAACCCAAAAGTAAAAATAATAGAGATGAGATTATGACACATTGAAACCAGCATACAATCAATCAGAGCCTATATCAGATAATGGATTTAGAAGAAGCTTTATGCTCTTTGTGTGCATGAAAAGCACTGTCATGTTTCACAAACCAACAGCACCCTTGCCAACCCCCTCTCCCAAGATAAGATATAAAGGAAAAGAAATAACATAACTTATCTTTGAAATAAAGTGGGATTCTGAACAGAATGCAGTTTTAAACATTATCAGGTGTGCCAACAACATTACTTCCACCGGGCAACCCATGACACATGATATATGTCTACAAAGTTGAAGACTAAACTGATTGAGAATTCAATAGGAAGAAATAAGACTAACTTTTCTACCCGCTTTTCCTCCTCTTTCGTCTTAAGGAATATACAGCAATTTCAACGGTAGTTAGTAACCTACCCAAAAACAATTAATGAAAGCTCTCTTGCAGCAGAAATAACATCAAAACAATAAGTAAGACTATCTTCAATGCTTTCTTAGTTTTTGACTTTGAAAAAGACTCTGAAGCTGAGGTAGCTGCTGCTACTTCCTTGGCTCCAACTGCAATAGCAGCTTCAAAACCCTGATATAAAGCGTTAAACAACATCAACAATTTATCGATCATGAGATAGGTGCATGTTTTCTCTATGACAAACATCTTAAATTCAATAAGAAAACATATATCCTTGGAAAGTATAACTGGGAAGACATTACCACTATATATCAAAGATACTTTAGAGTTACCAAAGTGATCAATGTATGTATGCATCTGGGAATATAAAAAAGTAGCAGATTTTCATACATTTAACATATTAGATAAAAATAAAATAAAATACCTTGAGGGATATCTGCAGTGAGTGCAGCTGAAGAGAAGAAAGAGTCAGGACTTCAGAACAATGATGTCCTTAGGATCACATAATTGGAGATTTTTAAAATTTACAAGGCAAGCCTCTTTTAGTTGAATTGTCTTAACCTGAAACTGAAGAGATGCATTGCAGCATTAGAGAAACAGACTGAGAGATCGAAGTGTCATAAAATAGGATTGGGCATTACTAGGAGAAATTTGTTGCTATGACTGACGGGTACCAAGAGGCACCTCTTCTTGTCTTCACATTACATTAATCTCAGAACTAAATCCCCAAATAAGACCATAGTTAAACAAGGAAGTGGTCAATGCAGCTGTCTTGTGCTCTCTACACTTGCCTGTAAGGATGAACATTATTGGACTGTTCATTTCTTAGCTACTGCCAGAAATGTTGCCTCCTACTTAGAAGGTAGCATGACACCAGACATCCGCCTTAATATCCTTAAATTGTCTTCAATAAGAAGTTGGAGAAAAAAACCCTAATCAGATCCATTTCTTGCAAAAAAAAAGAAAAAAGAAAGGAAATATTTAAAGTAAGAGTCTTTTAGAAAGTGATGTAGAATATGTGTTCTGATTAGGTGCAGCATCTAAGAATTTCAGCAGTGATGTTGCACTTACATGGGTTAGGGATGAATTAAGAAAATAGTGAGATGAAAAAAATAAGATGCAACCTAGAACTAGAAGACAATTTAATACCATTCATAAGTAAAATGGTGTTCTTGCAAAGTTGCACTTACAATTGTTTAAGCTAACTGGAAATAACTGAGAATTAAACATTGCCAAAGAACAACAGCTCGGTCTACTGGCCTATCTGGCAGGCTGCCCACCCTAGATCAAATGGTAAAGATGGTTCCGCAAACACAATTTGCAAACTGAGTCCGGATGCAAGAATCATGGAGGTATCTACAAGGAAGCTATCTCCAAAGATATGGGTTTCCCAAGTACTGTTCTGGCAGTAATATGGTACCTAATTAAGATCAAACTGTTAGTAACCCTCGACAAGCATTACCAATGCAAGGGCTTTGATGGGCTGCAATACTGCTGAAGAAAGAGCATGATAAAGAATTTTGAGTGGATTCAAAAGGTTAGCTGCTTTAGCCTTAGCAAAGCAACGTGCATTGTAGAAAGCTTTTCTCACTAAGTTCATCCCTCAAGGTTCTTTTTCATTTGTTAGAGCATGATAGAATACATAGCTTAATAGAATCTAACATCCAGCATCTAAATTTTCCTTTCAAAAGAACATTTGAAACTCATTTACTTATTTTTTTCAAAGAATTTGTCAATCTGCACTACTTTACAATCGATTCTACAATGCATCTAAAAGGAAGAACAAATTCACAAATCACAACCTAGGCCAAAGAATAGTATAAGAAAAATGACAAAAATAAAAGGACAGCTTTCTCAAAAATACATTGTATTATGGTTATTTGTTTTTGTAAGATGCATTAATATAGCCGCCACCTTACTTTTAAGATGGAAATATCTGAAGCTGAAGAGTTGGGAAGGGAATCAAGCTCTCCAAATTTATCAATAAAAAGAGAAGTAGTGCAACAATATATGCAGTTTTATTATAATTTAAGCTATTAAAAAGAAAAGAAATATACCTCAATAATAATAAGTCTGTAGCTTCATTCCAGATTTCACTCAGGTAACAATTGGCTTTGGTGGTTATAGCTGATGAATATGTGTAAGAAAAGTTAGCTTCCAACAATTAGAAGAAGAAGAAGAAGAGGCTATCCTTGTTTGTCTCTATGTCAGAGTGTGAGTTTGAGTCTAGGTTTTACCTCATCACCATCTATTACGATGCGAGGGATGGTATGGGTGAGAGACCAATATTCTCCTTTCTCCTCAAAGCGTTGTCGTTTTAGAAGCGGACACTCATAGATCCAGAGAGATCCAAGCGACGGAGGCAGGCCTTTCCTCGGCAAGGACTGTAGCTTTGGGCACCTCAAAATCCATAAATATTTAAGAGAGTTGAGGTTTTGGAGGAGCCCTCTGGGTATGGATTTCAGATTCTTTTCATTTTCTATCCGTAGATATGTTAAAGAAGAAGGAAGCACAATATCCGGAGGAGGACACGTGTTATAAATTTCAAAGTTTTGAAGAGAGGTAAGATTGCGGAGGCCCCGTTTCACTGCTGGCTGCTTCAGATGCTCACCGTCTAATTCAAGATTTGTTAAGTTCGGGGGAAAATCCCCATCTGGAATGCGCTCCAACCCTGGACAGTCTCTAATTGTCAAAGACCTAAGATTGGGCAAGGAGAGGCCCATTTTTGGGAAGATTTCTAAAACTGCACACCTTCTAATGTTCAAATCACGAAGATTGCTGAGGCCATCAAGTGATAAGCTTCTCAATACTTCACAATTCCAAATTCGAAGGGATTCAATTCCCGTACAATGTTCCAGCATCCTCTCTGAAAATGATTCCAACCTCTTGCAATCTTCAACAGTAAATTCCTTGAGAGAAGCTGGCAGATGACCACTCCCAACAGAATTTAGAAGTGGGAGTCCCTCTATACTCAGAGATTCAAGATTGCTATTGTTGTCACCATCATCTTGCAATAATACTCCAGCTGGTAAAGACTCAAAATAGACACATCCATTAATTGTCAAGTGTTTAACCATGGTGGTGGTGGGTAAAGACTTGAGAGAATCACAATTGTAGATGCTTAATGATTCAACTCTCAAGATGTTGTTGCTGCTACTGCTTCCATCTACCTTCATCATCATCGCATCAGTTAATGACTTTAAAGCCTTGCAACTTGAAAGTCTGAGATGTTTAAGATTGAAAGGAAGAAGGCCATGTTCTTTCCCCGTCAATGAAACAAGCAGAGGACAGCTCTCAATGTTCATTTTCTCAAGACAAGCAAGGTTTTCTATCTCGGCACCTTCCTCCCATAAACAAGTAAGCTCGAGGCATTCTTTAATCTCCACCTCCTCAACTGCTATCAAGGACTCAATAAAACTCCTAGCCAAGCAAACAAGTCCTGAAATTCTCTTAATTTCCAAGCTAGTAAGAGAGATGAGATCAGCCATGCTATTCAAAAAGGCCACATTGCAGTCTTCAATATTCAGCTTTTGTAGTGACTGAAGACTCATAGATGATGGGCATCTTAACTCTGGGCATCCTCTGATTACAAGATTTGTAAGACAAGACAAGTGGCTAGGTAATTCTCCCATCAGCTTAGGACAATTTTCAATCACAAGCTCACGAAGACATGGGAATCCTACTCCACCTTCTGTTGTAGAAGTCCATTCCTTCCACACTAACATGTCACAAAACTCCAACTTCTCAAGAGATTTAAAAGTGCCATCTCCATAAAACATGTAATCCACCGTTTCTATTGCATCCATGCCTTCCACAATCAATTCTTTGAGTGTTGGTAATTGCCCTAATGATGGTAATGAAGTGCTTCTTCTACATTGGCACAGCTTCAAGTATGATAAATTAGAAAATGATGGACAACTAATCCAGGATGGGAATTCCTTGCCACCATAGCAAATAATTGAGAGACTTTTCAATTTTAGATGTGGTTTTAACCAGCTAAGGACCTCCATTTCCTTGTCTTCATTCTTAGAATTGCCAAATTCAGAAGTCCATTGTAAGAGCAACCAATCAAGACCATCAATCTTGTCCAGGCTGGCCTTCTTAGCATCATGAGCATTTGAAACGTTATGCAAATCTAGAATAGATAGTTCCCCTTTAAGTTGAGAAAAGTTCTCCAAATTAGATAATTTCAGGGATCCATTTTCCTTCCCCACAATAAATTTGCCCAATGTCAAAAGATGTTTGAGGTTAGCTAATCCAAATGGCATCTCTTTTAGGGAATTTGTTTCCCTAATATCCAGATGATGGAGGCTAATTAAGTTCCCAATTTTCACAGGAAACTTTGAAAATTTCCTGCAGGAGAATAAGGACAGTGTCTGCAATTGGAGAAGGGAGCCTATGGATTCGGGCAAGCTTTTGATCTCAGTTCCTGAGAAATTAAGGTACTTCAAGTGTTTTAAATCTCCCATTGAATTCGGTAGCTCTCCTATTCTATAACCGTCAAGAGATAATACCCTTAAGCATCTTAATTTTGGTATCCAATCAAGCACCACTGTCTTTGCTAAATGACTCCCACCAAAACCAGAATTAGTTGGAATGAACATCCGCAAACTCTTCATTTCATTCAAAACTTCAAATCTCTTAGAGATGTCACAATAGCGGGGGTAGAATGACAGATAACGGACCTTTCCAAAATTCACTTCAAATTTTTTATTAACCTCAGACATATCCTCTAGATCTAGATTGTAGCAAGTTCTTCCAGCAACAAATTCAGCTAAATCATGTATGAGGTCATGCATTACATACCGTAATTTATTCTTGGTGGACTGTTGGAAAAATGATCTTGAAAGTAACTCAAGAAAATATCTTTGACCAATTTCTTCCAGCTGATTTTCCTCTCTTAGTAGCCCTTCTGCCATCCATAACAAAACTAACTCCTCCTTGTCAAATTCGTAGTGCTTAGGAAACACAGCACAATATGCAAAACATTGCTTCAAATGAGAAGGTAGATGATGGTAGCTCAGCATCAAGGACGGCAGAATCTCGCTTTTGACCTCTTGCAAATTCAACATCTTATTTAATATGAATTTCCAGTCTTCAAAGCCATGCTTACCTCGTAAGAGGCCCCCAAGGACTTTTGCAACCAACGGTGATCCATTACATCTCTTGACAATTTCTTCCCCAACCTCTTTTAAGCATGGATGTGCATTAAAGTTATCTTCTCCTAGTGCATGTTGAGCAAAAATCGACAAGCATTGTTTATAGTCTAACTCTTTTAGATAGTGAATCCTGTCATTCCCACCCATGATTTCTGCAACACGCTTGCTACGAGTTGTTACTACTATTTTGCTTCCAGCTGATCCTGATTGGAAAGGTTTTTGCAAGGTATCCCATTGTCTGTAACCCTCATTCCAAACATCATCTAAAACAAGTAGAAACTTCTTGCTTGATAACTCTTTCTTCAATTCTTCTTGAAGCAAATTCCAATCTCTCAAATCATGCTGGCGTCTAGATACTGCCTCCAAAATGGATCTTGTAATGCTTAACACATCAAATCGGTCAGAGACACAAACCCATGCCTTAAGCTCAAAGCTTCCCTGCCCCACTTCATTGTAAACATTTTGAGCCAAAGTGGTCTTGCCTATTCCTCCCATCCCAACAATAGGAATTACAGAATATCCTTGGGAACTGCTTTCATTATTTAGTAACTTTTGAAGAATAGCTACTTTATCAGTTTCTCGTCCATAAACATGAGAATCGGGTAGGGAACTAGTGGGCACCCTCGCAACATCTACTTTATCTGGCCATTCTCCAGCTTGCATGGTTAAACTCAGTAAGCCGAGTGTGTTTGATCTTTCTATCATGCTTAGCAACCTATTAGAAATAGCCTTCACCTTAGAAATGGTGTTGGAATCAAACATGGAATCAGTATATTTGAAATAAGAGAAGCACGCGGGGATGCATTTGCTGGTAGTGCTGGCACATTGAGGTTCTGCAATCAAGCTACTCCTCAAGCCATTAGTTGTGAATTCCTCCAGAATGTCTTCCATATCATAAGCTAGGTCCTTGAGGTCATCAAGCCATGTCTTGATGGAATTGACAGCCCTTTGCTTTTCCTCTGCATCTCTGAGCACATCATGAATATGTGGTAAAAAGGACTTCCATTTTTGGAGCTCCATGTGGACCTCTTCTTGTAACCTATGGGATCTACTGGAAGTGAAATTATCCACCTTTGGAGAAGCCACTCAAAAGAAGCTGATAATAGAGGTTGCACAACCATAGACCCGAGTTCCATTGTGTGGCACAGGTAAGTTGATCTATAAGGATGACAAAAAGAAATATTGATGAGAAGATTTTTTAAGATGAGAAGAGGTCCATGCTCAGCAATTATGGTTGCGTTTTCTATTTAAGATTTATTATGAAGAGATTGTAGATTGGAGATGTGTGCTAACCATGTAAGAAACAAAAACGGAAGGATAGACAAACCTTTTTCCCTTTTTTTCTTTTACTTATAAGGTGAAATAGCCATGTAGTCGGAAAAAAG